TTACATTAAAATTGGTTTTCTCCCTGCTGCTGCTACAGGAGACCCAGAGAGGACATTCAGCCTTCATTCCCTAAGTGGCCAGAAGGCTGCTCTCAGCCTAGACAGTGGAAGGCATGTCCCTCTGTTTAACATTAACAATTTAAAGGTAAGTTGACAATAGCCTAGGGACAGTTTTACTCAAATAAGGGACATTGACGTAACATGTCTACATGTAACTTCTGCAGAAAGACAGGTGTGGCCCTGGAAGGAGTGCCTGCTCTGTGTCAGTGAGGGAAGGTGTGTTTCCAGCCATGGCTCTGCTGCCTGTGTGGTAATTTTCAGCTTCTGGGGACACTGAGCTGCACATGGAGCACAGTAACAAGAACCTCAGAGCCGGGTGGTGGTGGCGCACGCCTTTAATCCCAGCACTTGGGAGGCAGAGGCAGGCAGATTTCTGAGTTCAAGGCCAGCCTGGTCTACAGAGTGAGTTCCTCTGTACAGAGAAACCTGTCTCGAAAAACAAAACAAACAACAAACAAAAAATGACCTCAGAAAATAGACTACCTTGGCCCAGACCCAGGCTGATCTGGATTAGCATGTGTTAAGTTTGACAATTAAGTGTAAAGAAGTCTCTAAAACTGAATTCACAAACACGCTTGTCCTTGGTCACAGTGGACCTCACTGGGGAGCAGAAGCATTCGGTGTCCAGGTGGACTCAGGCAGGCTGGCCTGGCACCCGTGGAATGATGGCGCCTTGGGAGTGGTAGGAACAATGTACCTGGGACATCTGTGGGATGTGTGGACAGACATCCATGGAACAGCCAAGTGCAGGTCCTAGCCTAGTGGAGCCCCTTGAGCTCACATAGGGCTCACATGGAGCCAGCGGCTGAGCTGCTAAAGGAGCATGGGCTGTGTGAAGACCTTGGCCAATGTGCTTGGTCAAGGACTTGGGAATGGGTGCTAGCTTTGAGTATTTTTAATCATACAGTAACACTCATTCTTTTTTTGTTTTGATTTTTTTTGTTTTTCGAGATAGGTTTTCTCTGTATAGCCCTGGCTGTCCTAGAACTCACTCCGTAGATCAGGCTGACCTCGAACTCAGAAATCCACCTGCCTCTGCCTGCCAAGTGCTGTGATTAAAGGCGTGTGTCACCATTGCCCGGCTACACAGGTTCTTAATACAGAACATTTAGGATAATCATGTATCATGTATGAGCACGTCTCACTGACAGTCTTTTCCTATAGTTAACCACTATTAGCAAACCTTGCATGGTTTTGATAGTTTGTGTATAACTGAATTTGTTTTGTTGTCCATTTGATATATAACCACATGTGTGGATTCGTGAGATAGGACCTTCATAAATGCTTTTTCCATCTTTGTGCTTCCAAAAGAGCAATAATCCTGAATTTGATACGATCCAACTCTGTTTTTCTTTATAGTTTTTGCTACAAGCATGTGTAGTTTTTAAACTTAATATGGATACATTTCACTCTGTCATTCTGAGAATTCCAGTATTAAGTTGTTGGTGCACCATTTCACTTGGGCAAAAACTAATTGGTAAGACTCTGCTCTTGGGAAGTGTTCCATCTTCTACAGCTGCTCCCCGGCACTAACCCCTCCCTTGCCGATGACATGTAGACGTCTCCTGCACATTAACTGGCACGCATAGCTCTTCTCTAGGATGTGGTCTCCGGAGAGAAACACAACAGGGTAAGATTTGCGAATCAATCAGAAGAGCTCTGTCAAGCCGTCCTCCACAATGGTGGCAGGCTTGCCTTGTGAGACTTTCCCACACTGTGGCGTGGATAACCCTTGGAATTATCAGATTTCCTCAGTTGATTTGATTTAGTGGATGAGAACAAATGTTCCATGATGCTTCTCATTTGCACTTCCCGACTAATAGAATTGTATATTGTCATGTTTATTGGTCAAGTATTATTATTTTTGTTTCCTATATACTTTCCAACCATTCATAGGTGTCTTTTAACTAAAATGGGTGGGTAACGTTTGTATAATATTGAAGGTTCCTAGCTCAGCAATCTGCACACTTGGTTACATATCAAACAAACAAACAAACAAACAACAACAATAATAACAAATCCAGGACAGCAAACCATCAAAAACATGCAAGGTTTGTTAACAGTGGTCAACTATGGGAACAGACTTTATCAGTGAGATGTACTCACACACGATACATTATTACTCTAAGTGGTCTGCTAGAGTAAAATGGTAGGTAATACTACATCTGAGGAAGAAAGATGTGTTCCTGGTCCCACCTCAAACCCAGACTAGTGCCCTCGAACCTTCTATGTCTAACTTTTGTTCCCCATCAGGACTGATGGGTCAGGTGCAAGGTGGCCAAATTCTCTGTCTCTCATCTCTGCACCAGGAGCCACCCAGGCCATGCGGGTGGTCTCCTGGCAGTTCTGGTACTCTGACAGTACCTGCCATTCTCTGAGGAAGAGCATAGCTGCACTGTCCTCCCCCAAGTGTAGGAGGTGTTGGCTTTCTCTCCAGCCCTGGTTCAGCACTCAAGATTAGAGAAACTGAACGGACAAGCAGGCCCCGTGCTGGGCTCCATGTGGTGGGGGTGGAGGTCTTGTATTTTCCCATCAAGAACCTTTCTTGAGGTGCTCATGCTTTCTCCCATGCCCTTCAAATCACATCTTAGTAAGAGCCTCCTAAAAACTGAACTAGAAAGTGAATCGTGACGTGTGGGCTCCAATCCCCCATAACCTTATAACAGCGACACTTTGGTACGGTGGTCTAGGGAAAATATTACTGCCACCTCGCCCCAGAGGACATTTGGCAACATCTGGAGACATTTTTGGTTGCTACAGTGGATGGTGGTAGAAAGGTGTTACCATCCTCCAGAGGGTAGAGGCCAGGGATGCTGCAGGAAATCCCCTGCAATCAAGAATTATCCAATCACAAATGTCAACAGTGAGCAGGCTGAGAAGCACAATCCTTCTATACCATACTATCCAGGCTAGAAAGCCACAGTTCCTGGCTTCCCTGTGGGGACTCTCAATTACACTACCTTCCTCCGGAAGTGGCTTTTCTGGCACTGAAAAACCGATTCCTACAGCTGTATATAGACTTGGGATGTGGGAGAAGGGACTGGAGATCTTGTAACTAAGCCAAGTACTTTCTCATCAGGGGGTTCTACCTATATGATCTGGATCCCAGTTCGTGTGACACTGTTACGTGGTGACAAACATGTAGATGTCGTGGGTAACAGCAAAGACTCTTCTAAACTGTATGTGCTTGCTATTATACGTCATTAAGTGATACTAAGTAATAATGCAGTCTGGTAATCAGACTTCAAACATTGTTTGTCCTGTGGATCCAGGCACTAGGAACTGTGTCACTTGCACAGTGACCAAGCCTCCCGCGCTTAGCTCAGGGAACTGACAGCTCATCAGATAGAGATGCTCATTAAAAGGCAGGATCCTGGGTCCTCTCTTGAGAGTCTGGCTTCACAGTCAGGGTAGATTCTGAGAGTCTATGTTTTCAGCCAGGAGTTAAGGGTGTTCTACAGTAAGCAATCCAGGGGGTCACCTGTAAGAACCACTCAAAGAAATTATGGAACCCCACTTAGTCTAATCCTAGGCTTGAAAATCCAATGTGATGATTTTCTATATCTCTGAAAAAAATCTAACATTTATTTTCTCAAGTTTCCAATTTTAGCTGAAATATGGAAGGTAAAAGAACGAGATGCCGTACTTGGAGAGGCAGGACATTTACCACGGAGCAAGGGGACAGATATTCTACCTTAAAAATCAGTCTGAGTGACTTAGAGTGAGAGTTAGACATGTATTTTTGTATGGGCGGGCGAGAAGGCTCTTCCCTGTGTCACATTTTGGAATTGGCCTCAGCACACAGTTCCAGCTCTGTTTGGAAATGTGGGCTCCTGATCACCAAAATAAATGGCTTCTCTGGTTACTTTCAGTTTCATTTCAAAGCCCCTTTTTTCCTGACCTGATTCCTGTTTGTGAGTTTACCGTGGGCTACTTATTTTAACACACCAACCACAATGAACCATCTGGCCAAAACTTTCTTCTAAGAAAAATCCTTCTATGCTGTTGCAAGCACCTCAACACTAAAAAGTCTAAAATCAAGAAATCATCTCACTAAGTAGACAGTCGTGTGTGTGTGTGTGTGTGTGTGTGTGTGTGTGTGTGCGTGTTTCATATGACTATGATCAATTTAAAGATAAAATTCAACAACAGAAGATATATCAGGTATTTAGGTCATGCTGATAATCCAAGCATTAAAGTAAAGCAGGTGGGTCTCTGTGAATCTAAGTTTCTACAGCAAGTTTCAGGCCAACTAGAGTTACAGAGTGAGAGTCCATGGGTGGGAGAGAAGAAAACAAGATATCTATATAATAACAAACAATAGATTTGAAACAATATATCACCATTGTTAAGGGAAAATGATATGACCATCTCGAATTATCCTTCATAGCTAACTGGAGTCTATCTTTTCCAGCTCTCCTGAGTTCTCCCACATTCTGTTCCTTAGAACACTGGCTTAGACTTCGACAGCCTCTACACTCATTCCGTTCTCCTGGTCTACTTTAAACTGTAGGTAGCCCTTCATTAGCCTCTGGGCTCACAAAAATGTGACACTTCCTTGAATTCATCCACAGATGAATCACTTCAAAATACTCCAGTCTCTGTCCTCTTACTGAAAGTCATTCAACAGACAGACGGCTTTCCATGCCAGACAGAACCGACTCTCTGGCGACATGAACAAAATCTCAAGTTTTTTGTTCAATGCACAGCCTAAACCATCCAAAGTTCCCTTGACCCACGTAGCCCCCGCTCAGAGAGAAGAGAACCAGTTCCAGCATGCCCGGAACGTCCCAGGACACATCCACCTGCATGCACATTTCTGCCAAGCTTGGTGTTGCTGTGTGGTGTGCTTTGGCTGACTGAGTTCCCACAACCCAGCATGCAAATAGTAGGGGCTCACGAATAAGAAGCCCCAGGAAAGACCTGGACCCTGACCTTACCTATTTTCGCAGCCTCCATTTTCAAGGGGAAATCCCAGTTCCTTGGCAACTTCAGGGACATTTTGCTTCCAATTTGGGTGAGTAGCCGGTCAAGTGGCCAGTGTGTCACAGGCTGTGCCTTTCTTGCTTTTCTGATCTTCCCTTCGGTTCCTCTGCCTTCTCTGCCTGGTGACTGCTTTGCAGGCACTCTTACGTTCCAGACCGATCTGCCCACGTGTCTCCTCCTTTCTCTCACATGAACTGGCCATCCATCTGTCATTTGGGGTTGGCACTGAAACTCCCCAAGCCCCACCCACAGTCCCCCAGGGGCTGGCACCCTGCTTTGAGTTCAGATTTACCAGAAATATCCCAGTCGACACTGCCTTTTGGGATGCAGAGCCCCTCCTCGGAAGAATCTCGGGCCTTACTGAAGTGAAGTTGTGATAAACAACTGGTTTTTTTTTTTTTTTTTAACTGTCTGCTTCCTTGCGTTTTGAGGAAGTGGGTAGCTGTTCGGCGTTGTAGCGTTATGAACACACTTTCTTCAGAAGATGTTGTTTAGAAATTTTTGTAAAGCTAGTGCATATTTGTGTTATAAGGCTGTGGTTTTAATTAGATAGAAAGAGAATCCCAAGGCTCTGGCCATGTGCCTCGATGCCTGTGTTCTCCTCCTCCTTGCCTCAAGCTTTCTAAAAGTGGCCAGGCAGGCAGCCAGCATTCTGCCCAAGTTACCATCTTTAAAAATTCCTGCTGTGTAAGGGCCACACAGCTCACACCTGCATGGGTAAAAGGTTTCCAGTGGTCCCCACCTGATGCATGCAGGGTTGGGATGCACTCAGTAGGTAGGTTGATTCCAGCCAGGCAGAACCACACAAAGGGTCACTGCATCTTCCCCTTGGTGTATGCTGTGGTGTTTACAAGACCACCATGTATAAAAAACTCAGTTTTCTTCCCCTTTTAACAGAATCTTCCTGGGCCTCCATGTCTTCTTCAGAGAAACAGGATCCTTAACAACTGAGTTGTTGCAGAGGCCGTTGGTACAGGCTCTGACAAACAGTGGTTACCCCGTGAGCACTGATTTGACCTTCATTCTATCTGGTTCAGTTTGTGGCAGGCCTTTACATCTTTAACTGGGTCAGCTGAAGCTAGCGGTTAAGTTTCTAGGCCTCGAACCAGAAGGCTGTGTTCAATTCCTAGTTTCACCATCTTCTGGCTGAGTGACTTTGGATACAACCTCTTGATTGTTTTCTGTTTCGATTTCCTCATCTGTAAATGTAGTAATTAACAGAGCAACTTCACAGGGCCGCTATGAGGTTTCTGCATAATCACCAGGCACACCACAGGCCCGGGCCATTCATTTAGGTTCCCCTGGATAACCATGTGTGTTCCCTCACCTCCCACAGGCTATCGGCAGATGACCCAGCTTCCAGTTCCTTGCCTGCCGCATGAGCCACCTCCTCTCTCCCCCAGCTCAACTTCATCACCTCTTCCTATTTTCTCTTAGATCTTTCCAATCAATACTAACATTACAATGTTTTTCACATCTGCAAAAAAGAAATATCTCTTAATACCACTTCCTCCCTTGGCTATAGCCTTTTTCTGAGAATTTTTTTAAATAAAGACTGTTGGACTTGCTGTGATCTCTCCTCTTTTTCTTTCCTGGATTTCTTCCATTGAAGCTTTTGTTCCCAGGACCCCATAGAACGGCTTCTCAAGGACATCAACAGCCTTTCTATCACTGAACCAGCAGGTCAGGTCTCCATCCTCACCTCACAGCCTCTCAGCAATGGACATAGGCGGCCATCGCAAATTTACAGAACTCTGAGCACTCTCCATCTGCCCTTCAGGTTCTGTGACTGGCCTGGTTTTCTGCCTCTTTTCCTGGTATCTATTTCTGATTTCTCTCTGTCTCTCTGTAAGCAATGAGTACACCATGGGCTGCTTATACATCTTTGTCATCTTGATGAGCATGGCTGCCCTAAGACTTTGGTTACCCCATGTAGATAAGGGTCCACATATATGTCCCTCACATACACAATGTGTAGATGTTTCCAGACGAGACCACTTTTGAGTTCCAAGTTACAGTGCATTGCTGCTTTCATCTCCAAGAGGCAACACGGACTAATGCAATGTGAACACCCAAGGCCTGAGCGTGCTGACCGAGGGCATGCCTTTCTCACTGGGAACTAAAAGATTGCATGAACCAATAAATGTATTCCGAGCCTCTGTGCTCATCTTCTCTGCTTACACGTCATTGGCCAACGTGAGTCACATGAGCAAGCACACCATCACAGAGACAGGAAGTACACACAGCAATAAGAGAAAAGGGGACTGCCTAGCTTACCCAGATGCCAACAGTGCCACAGGAGTGCTGGATTTCTCCACTTTGGCTCTGGCTCTTAGGGACTTTAGAGTCTCTGATCTACACTTCTTCCTGCCTGGCCCAGCACACTGTTCCCTATCTGACAGCCCCACTGAACACCATCCTGGTAGCAGCTGCACAGGGAACCTACCCTCCAAAGATTCAGTCCTGGGACCTTTAACTTAGGAATTCTGACAGCATTCTGAAGGTGGCATTTAGAGACACATAGGGAACTTCCTGGACTCTTTGGGGTGAGTTCCTGTGAGTCTTGGAAAAACATATGACCCATGGGGAAGTTGGTGGGCACACTCAGAAAGTCAGTCAGCAAAAGCAGCAGCTATGGAAAGGCTGCTCATGGCAGCCCACAGAGGCTGGTGCTGGTGTCAGATCCTGCGTGGGGTAGGTGGGTGTCAACTCCTGAGGGGGAGTAGAAACTTGGTTTGGTTCCTGCTGCACATCTCTGACCTTTAGAAGATGAAGAACTGGATGTCTAATAGTAAAAGCTGAGTTAACATCAGCAATAAGAAAAGCAAACATCCATGTATTTGCTTATTAATCCTAACCATTTATTAAGGCATAAACGATTTGCTGGAGGAAAGTTCACGAACAAGCAGCTTGGTTCCAGCCTCTCTCCTTCCTTTCTCTCCTCTCACCTCCCAGATGCAGCCAACAGGAAGGAGAAGCCCAATTCAGTGACCAGCTAAATCTAACAGGAGGAGAGATAAGCTGAGGAAGAACGGGAGCTGTGAAAGTGCACGTGGGAGGGGTGTGAGCAGGACCAGAGAAAGAAGGACTGCTTCCTGAGGCAGCCACTTTCACACTCTGACTTGACAGCCGTGTCAGGGAAATGGGAAAGTTTCAAAAAGGACCAGTTAGTGGTTCTCGCCTGTAATCTGAGCACTGAGGCTGAGGTGGGCAGATGGCCCCTGAGTTTAAGGGAAGCCTGCACTTCAAGAGTTGGAACCTGTCACACACACACACACACACACACACACACACACACACACACACAAAGCTGGTGGGGAAAGGAAAAAGAAGGGAGGGAGGGGGAGACTGAGGGTTACAAAATGGGCTCTAGAACAGCAAATGCACTGTCAGACCCTGAGTGGGGGTAGACACTTGGTGTGGCTTCTGATGCAAATCTCTGACTCTTAGAAGGGGTGCCTTAGAGGAAAGACAGGCTGGGGCCAGACAGTGCTGTATGCAGGGCTGAGAAAGCGTTGGTGGAGTTTTGACTTCCAGGGAAGTGGGGATCACCGAGGAGCTTTCAGCTCAGCAGAGTGAGGAGACTGCGGCCAACATTCAGAGTGAGAGGACAAGTGAGGGAGAGAGGGCTGCACATGGAAAGAAGGGAAGCCACATTGGAGTCTGCTGTGAGTGTTAGCATTTTGTCTAAGCTCCGCCCCACAGTTACCTGGCAACAGCCAGGTGTGCCTGACTCACTATAAAAGGGGCTGCTCGCCCTCCTCTCTCTTGCTTACTTGCCTTCTAGCTCCTGCTCTGTCCTCTCGGCCCTTCCTCCTCCCTCTCTCCCCATTCCCCTCCCCCCTCTCCACATACTCTGCTCCTCTTTTCTCTCTCTCTCTCTCTCTCTCTCTCTCTCTCTCTCTCTCTCTCTCTCCCTCCCTCCCTCCCTCCCTTTCTCTGTCTCTACTACCCTCTCAACTCCCCTCCCCATGCCCTGAATAAACTATTCTATACTTCACCATCTTGTGGCTGGTCTCTCAGGGGAAGGGAGGCATCCCCTTTCCTCATGCCTGACTACACCTCCACCAAAACATATCCCCTCTCTCTTTATCTTTTTATAAACACATCAGTGGGGATGAGAAGCCTGGGGGGTTTTATACAAGAAACAGCAGTTCCGACCCTGACTCTGATGACTGAGACAGCAGCAGTTTGCTCCACCGAGAGGAGATGTGCAAGAGGCTGGAACTTGATGCAGGGTCAGGGATTAGGAGCTGTGGACTCGGTGTGGTGCCAGGCACAGAAGTGGCCTCTCATAGGCTACGGTGAGAACAGCAGTGGTCAGGGCTTCGTGGGGGCCAGGGTGGCTTCCCTGGCAATGCTACCACACGAGTGGTTACGAAGCAAGGAAGCAGGGAGGACATTGTCCACAAGAGAAACAGCCCAGCAGTAGCCATTAAAATATGCCACCAGCCCTCCATGCACAATCAGGGAAGCATTCAGAATGGCGGAGGGGGAGCGCAGAACTGGATACAGTTAGTTAGTTAATTAGTTAGTTATTGTCAAAAAGATCACAAGGTCTCACTATGCAACTCTGGCTGGCCTGCAACTCACTATGTAGACCAGGTTGGCCTCCCAAGCGACAGGATTAAAGGCATATATTACCACATCCAGCAAGATGGCAAAACTTTTAAACATGCCATGCCTTTCCCTGTGATTTTTTCATCTGTGATTTTAGAATCCCACGAGTGATCTTTCTCGATATTTTAAATAAACAAAACCAGCCGTTTCTACTTCACGTGGATAGCGGCCCCTCTTGATAAAGTCCAATACTCTTACCAAGTTCCTGACACTCCAGAGAGTAGTAGCCATCTCTACAGGGTGTTTTCACTCTCTAGATGCATGCACAGGTCTGGTTTATGAATGAGGCATGGTGAGAGCTAACACCTATCCCTAACAATGGGATAGGACAACTGTGACAGAACCATCCCCGCTCCTATGTGCAGGCATTATTAATGATAGGCAGCTACTTGAACACAGCACACAGTGCCACTGCCAGCCAAGCCAAACCCTCACACTCCTGAGAGGCGGGGCCAAGGGTCCCTGTAGGCATGCACTGCTGTTTTCTTTGAGATCATGTGAGAAAGGTGAAAGGTCTGCCCACATCTCACTTCAAAGTAAGCAAATGTAGCTTGCCGTGGGATGTGGTAGGACCGAACTCGCGTGTCTGTGGATGTGAGTCCACCCAGTGCCCCAGCTTCGTTGTATTTCACTGCTGTCTCCTGCATGGATTAAATGCAGCTCCTGTGTTATGCGGACCTTGGACAGTTGGGGACACAATGCTATGTGTTAGGGGCTAGCAGCTGCATCTGG